TTTAAGGAACATCTTGTGGCCCTAAAGCTAGAACTAAGTGAGTCCAAAATACAAATTTTTGGAAAATTCACTTTTAAACCGAGCTAATATTATATCACCTTTTGGAAATTTTGGAATACATATGCAATTTTTTTATATTACTTGGTCAACAAACACAAATACGGCAATTTTGAACTTGGTCACTTTTATCTTTTTGGCAAGTTTTCGCTTTCAAATTATATTCCATCATTGAAGTCGCTATCAGCAAATAAAATTGTCCGTTTACTTCCTCACAAATAAATTTAATAAATGTTGCCTGTAAGTATTGGCGTTCATTGTGGTATTTTTGTAAGAATTTCAAAATAACTCAGTAGTTCGAAAAAGCATAAACCAATCCTCGGAAGAAAACCAGTGGAATCGTAAGATCATATAAATCCATTATATTTCATTGTATTCTGTGTTGGTAAAATATACGTAATTTTTTTGATAGGGGATAATTACATACATTACAGCATTACATAATTTTGAAGTAGCTCATAGCACATTCTAAATACTCAAAAGATTAGAATTTAGATGCCTGAGTAAATATTAAAGCAATTTAATATCTAATGTGAAAGCTACTATAATTATAATTTCAAAATACCGATTTTTTTGTCGCCAAAATCACAGTCTACATTCAAATATTTTTCTTGAGTTGCAGCTAAGCATAGTAAAACTTCCAAATTTAATCAAAAAGTAGAAAATGTATAGCTCTGACTGCAGTCAGTAGAATTAAAAATTATTCAAACATTTTTCACTTGTGCTATTGCTGCAGAATTGTAAATCTTTATATGGTTCTATAAATAGGTTCTATAATAATAACTAAATATGAGTTCCATAATTATTTTTCCTGTCATTTATTTAGAAGTACAGGGTTATTGATTGAACTTTGGCCACCCCGTTTTAACATCTAATTGGAATTATTAATAGAATAATGTACTTTTATTTGCATATTTGAGCTAATTTATATTTTCAATATATTTTTTTATATTTTCGACAATATCCAATGCCAAATTGAACCCTAATGTTTGATACTCAAAATCGATTTCCAGCTTTAACTCCAATCTTCAAGGTCAACCATTTATCCTGTTGCAATCGATTTCACGGAATT